GTCTCCGTTGAAGGGGCTGTTGGCCCGACAGAAGCCAAGGAAAGGCGTGTCGGGTTACCGGCTAACCCCGGGGGTAACCGCGAACCCCACCTAAGCCCATAAGCGTACACGTATTTGCGCACCCCTTCGTATAACTCATTGGGAAGGTCACAAATTTCGCTCGAAGGTTGCGGTGCGATCCGAACCACCTATGATCCTATGGGGCACCATCAGGCCACCGTTAGCAAAAAGGTAACAAGATGTAAATTGAGACGCGTTTAGAAAGGATATACTGCTAATTAACGTAGTAAATGTTACATGAACTTGTATATATAGTGAACTTATAGAGACAATTAATGATCAATTTCTTTTGCTATTATTAAATTAATGATAGTATTTTAAAAGGATTTATTAAGATGTTTATTTAACTCTTAAGACTTATTCTGTAAATATAATAAATTAAAATAACTTGTAATTTATAACAGAATTTATTAATATTGATTATTTATAATTTATAATTTGTAAAATATATATATCATTTTTAGTAAAAACTTGTCAATTTGGGATAAAATAGAATCATCTTTTTAGGTGGTCAAGAAAATTCAAAAATTAAGAGGAACTTGTATTCGTCGGCATTTTGTACTTTTGAACAAGCTGCGGAGCTGATTCATGGAACTATACCCTTCCGTCCCGATTGGAGACAACTCGAAATCCATCCGAAGGTACGATCCATCGGTCCAACCCGATTGTATATCGATTAAAAAATCCTCGTGTCGGGTTTCACGGTACATGGTACAAAGTTGACATTAACGATTGCTGACAATACGAAAGGCGACCGACGCTCGACCGCATTGTAACGGCCTTCTATTAGCACAGTCGACGAGATACAAAAGCCGGATCTTCCAGATACCCATACCTATCTGAATGACAGATAATCGGCCACCTTTCAGTTTTTTGAGGCTCGCGATTAAATATTCCACTTTTTTTTCTTACTTTCTAGAAAATGATCTTGTCTTCTTAACAAGTTTCAAAGATGTATTTATTTTTTTTCTTTGAAATTTTTATTTTTATAATATAACAACGAATATGAATTTTTCTTTTTATTATATATCATTAACTCATATTAAATAATTTCTATTTCAGAAAATGGCTTATGTATAATTCGCATTTGCAATTGATAGAGTATCAATACTTATATCAATAAAAGAAAATTATAACGTGATACAAACACTGCTTTATATGATACAATCGTTTTTTCCAATTCTTTTGAATCATGTGAAAAAGCTCGGGTAATACCGCTTGTCAGCGAAACCAAAGTAAAGAGAAGAAAAAACTATATAAAACCTTCATGTCGCAGTTCATCGATGCTCGGATTACAATCAAACACTTTGCTGCCGGTATATTTTGCAACAGTAATTCCAGCAATCTGTGATAAATGAGTTTTGCGATACAGATAGATTAAGCGATGATACAGTTATAATAGCTTTTATATCAACGTGGTATATAAAATGATTTTCAAAAAATCTAGAATAATATCTTTGAAATATTGCAATACAAAAAGCATAAATCAATGCAAAAGAATTATTGTTATCGACATTTATATATATCTTATATTATTATATTGATTCACAATATAATATTATTCATAATATCAACAATATCAACTATATTAATTAAATTCTAATTTTTTTATTTTTTCTTATAAAATTAATAATCGTATAACCATACAAATTACATCAGTATAAAATATTTTCAATATTTTCAATATTTTTTATATTATTTTAATCCCAAGAACAAAGTTAACATTAACGATTTGTAAAAACTGACAAAAGATTTGTAAAAACTCGAAAAATATCAATTAGTTTTCAATTATGTAATTAATCTATTATTGATTAAGTTAAACAATTAGACTAACCTTTATGTGGCAT